ATAAGTGAACCCAATATATGAGCGTTGCACGTCTTACGACTGAAAAAGTTGAAAGCAAAATACATTTTCCCCCAGAAAAAAAAAACGTATTTCATCAGAAAGTCAATTATGCATGGAAACCACTGTCTTAGCGTAAATAAAAGGACGATCTTCTCAACCAGTTGCAAAACTATGATCAACAAAGACCATTCCAAAACAAGGGCTTGGAAAGAGAGCTGTCGCCCCGGCCCATTTCGTCGGCGTCAGAATGTGAAACGAATGGCCAATCGACGCCACCAAACACTGAAGTTCCGACAAAGCAGGTGCATACACAGCACACCACAGCCTTTGCACTGCTGGCTGTACTTCAATCGCCTGTGGAGCGGGCGCCCATCGCGGACAGTAAACATACACTGGCGGCTAAGAACGGCGAGCGTGGCACGCCGGGCGGCCCCGGACAAACACGATGACAGGGCGACTATACAAAACGATCGTTGGACGTGTCGCCCGAAAATTGAGATGGCCTTTCTTTGACGCTGCCGCTCGTGGTCCATAGTGCTTCGATCCGCCGCGCTGTCGCGCCGACAATGGCTCCTCGGATGTGTGTTGTGAGTGCTCATGGCTTCTTTGACGTCAGGTACGCCGAGCACACCGCAAATTGCCAGACGTGGCAGTCGCCACTAGGAGGCCGAGCACGGTAGACCTGTAAAGTGACCTGTACCTATACAGGCCTCTTGATAAAGTGCTCTACATTATCCGGAAGGACAGACTGTTATGCGCCAAACTCCATATAGAAGCGGACATTGGGGTTCAGATTGTTATTATGAGTAAAATATAAGTCATTTTCTTCATTAAACGGTTGTTTCTCTATGCGGCGATCATTTATGAAGCACGCCACACTTAGTTACCAACGAGCGATATCATAATAGCTCCATTTTTGGCAGTATACTGGCTGCGGCCGAGTGCGACGGTGGCGCCGACTATCGGCTACTCGTGCAACTAGGCCTCGCGGTGGCTCCGGCGGCCAAACTTCAGATGAAAACGTCCCTGTGTGGAGACTTAACGATAAACTGAAAAATGCGATATAATGCAATTAAATTCAGTAATATGCGTTTACCCTGACGTATTTTTTACCAATATTCGGGGAGAATTGGCACCGGGATTTGGCAGGAGAAGATAAAATGTTTATGAACATTCCAAATTGTATTATACCTACATTGCATTGTCAAAATATGTCTCAATATATGCGAGACGTCATGCTGTTTGCCGTAGTATAGCGAAATTGTTTCATGAAAGACTCAATACAAATATAACGGGAGTGATGTATCTTAATTTCATTTGGTGGTGCAAATATTTTTTTCTTCCATGTCCCGATCCCGGGTCGAATTTTTCTCTCCTATGGATAAAAAGTGCAGAGATGTGTTGCTCAGTTAGTGAGCTACAGCGTAGTATAGCGACATTTTTATGTAAGCTGCCTATTTTTTCATACTGTGCTAGTTTCCACGAAAATCCGTGCATACACTGACCAATATTTTTTTCTTCCATGGCCAGATCCCAGGTCCAATTTTTATCCGCTATGGATAAAAAATGCATAAATATGTTGCTCAGATGGTAATCTACAGCGTAGTATAGCGACATTTTTATGTAACTTCCCTATTTTTCATACTGTGCTCATTTCCACGAAAATCCGTGCTTACGCTGACCAACATTTTTCTCTTCCATGGCCAGATCCCAGGTCCAATTTTTATCGGTCATGGATAACAAATACATAGATATGTTGCTCAGATAGCGAACTACAACGTAGTATAGCGACATTTTTATGTAACTTCCCTATTTTCTCACACTGTGCTCATTTCCACGAAAATCCGTGCTTACACTGACCAACATTTTTTTCTTCCATGGCCAGATCCCGGGTCCAATTTTTATCCGCCATGGATAAAAATACATAAATATGTCGCTCAGATGGTGAACTATACCGTAGTATAGCGACATTTTCATGTAACTTTCCTATTTTTTCACACTGCGCTATCACCCATCAAAATCCGTGCTCTCACCGACCTTAGTTCTCTGGCGTTGCCGATAGGCGGCGCTGGCGTCGCGTCCCGCGCTATGGCCGCGCCTGGCGCATAACGCTTTGCAAAGATTTTATGGTGCCTTGCGTTCAATTTTACACTTAGTCGGAGTGGTAATAGCTGATTGAAAACATCAAGAAACATGACAAGCAGGCAGAAAACTCTAAGTCTCGAATAGCAAAAGGGTCCATAAGAGGAACATTAGGACTGGTAAATGGGAAAGGAGGAAATAGAAATGCATAAGTAACAAAATAAGACGAGTGACAGAGGACGAAGGGGATAACCAGAAAAGAGAAGAGAAGATAGCGTCGGCAAAGGAACAAAGCAGCTAGATGTGAAGAGCTGATGAGAGAGAAACAAGAAAGACCAGGCGAACGAAACAGAGGGAAGTGCTTCACAGCCAATTCTTTCATTTAGCAGCAGTCATGCGGTGGGCAAATAAGAGAACAAGAACTGTTGCATCAACGCAAGTGAGCGACACGGAGGAAGCAAGAACCAGTAATGGATCACGCGCACCAAGCAGTCTCTTTACAAAGTGGTCCAGAGCCTTTCTGGTTCTGCTGCGCATTGCCGGGGTCTCCGGTAGCTCCAGCTTTGCATCCAGCTCGTATGCCGTGATGATCCTTGGCCCGCAGGCATCCATGCTTCTTTACAGCTTATATCCGGGTATCAGCACATACATACAAGCTCGTAAGGATGGGAATCAGTTTTTCGACTCACTTTATTTGTCGGGATTTCTTGGAATACCAAATGTGGCACCAGGCATTGCCCTCACCATAACACTTCTACGGGGCCGACTTAGATACCCGATTGTTTTATCAAGCATACCCCATCTGCTCGAAAAAGTCAAGACTACTGCGTATCTGACGGCAGGTAGGATGAAGCCAAACGACTACGGCAAGCGCATGCTGGCGCTCACAATAATGTTCTGGCTGATGTATTTTGGATCTGGTACTAGTCGCATTCTGATTGTTTGCAATGGTAGCTCCTCAATGAATTGTTTCTTATACTTTCTGGGAATCTTCCACCAGAATTGTTTTATTATGTGCGTCTTGCTGATATCTCTGAAGTTCATTTTTGCTGGCCAGTTGATAGCGTCAGGGTTGCGTGCTTTGACCATGGAGATGGAACTTATGACCAGCGATTCTCGGCTCCTTGACGTCGCTCACATACAACGCGTCGGAGAGCTTCAAAAATCGGCTTCTGAAGCATTTTTGGAATTGACTTCTTCCATGACGCCCGAGTTGATAGCAACCACCCTGAGCGGTGTAGTGATGCAGATTACACTAGCGTTGTACCTCACCTATCCCGGACACCACAGCCCTGTAACCATCATGCGCTACATCCCCGGAATTCTGGTGACCGTCGCCGGTCCGTGTGAGACGTGTCAGCTGCTGCTCGGGTGTCTGGGCCGCTGGCGGGACCTGCTGCTGCGCCTGGAGTGGCAGCGGCGGCCCGAGTTGCGCCACGAGCTGGAGCTGCTGCAGAGGTCGGTGGCGCGCGACCTGGACACAGTCGGCGACCTGGGCCTGTACCGACTGCGGCGCTCCACCCTGCTCAGCATCCTGTCGACCATTCTCACCTACGTCATTGTCATGGCTCAGTTCCAGCTGACAGAGTTCTCGGCTTCTGAAGTGGCAGCACCAGCAGTCGGCAATGCTACCGGGTAGTATTCTGCATTCTGTGAATCCTGTGAGGCTCCTTTAGAGTTTTGAAGGGCTATTTTCAATTTGTCTTTGAGTTGAAACAGTCAGCACGTGGCCTGGCTACTAAAACTGCCTTGGCTCTGAATCCACGGCGTACGGATGACAAAGCGAAAGGCTTTCTCAAATTTAACAGATCTCTTTGTCAACAGGTTATTTCGTTTTCAATTTCTTTTATGTCGGATTAGGTAGGTACTTTGCGAATGTGTCAAGTCACTGATACACATAATAGAGTTATCTACCCCGCACTTAGATTTCTGGTGATTATACCATGCGGAAATATGTATATGTGCTGTGGAAGCCCGGTTCGAGGCACGGTCGAGCTGTATGTCGTGTTGTGCTGCTGAAGGGCAACGCATCCCCAGCAATCCCTAGTGCTAGTGTTTTGTGATTGTGATCGTGATCATTGTGATTCCATTGCTGTTATGTCATAGACTACACTCAGTAAGAACACTATATTATACGGCCATTTGCGATTTTCCCTGTAGGTACAAGGTTGCAAACGTTACTGGGGTACGCACTCGAGACCCTGAGGACTTAGAGTAGTTCTAGCTGTTAGAGACTCTGTTCAGGCCTGTCGACTCGCCTAGCATGTCTCCCCGAGGCGAATTATAAACGAGAGTGCTGTCTCATGTTCTGAATTACATAGGTGGAACGATTTACGTTTGTTGGATAAGTGTCTGTTGTGTTTGGACGCATTACGCTCGAGACCGGTAGTATTGAACGAACGCTTATTAGATATAGCAATCAACATATTTTAGAACGCACGAAAGGGCAGTAACAAAATGTTAGAAAAGTTTTCCATGTCGCACACTTCACCTTCGCTGGTGCTGCTGTCAAACGATCTACGAGCAGTTACTGCAGCTGACGGTAACTATAGATCAAGCTCCGTGGCACGCGTTTTGCGCAGCCTTCTGACACAACTCAGCGCACAAACCCAGCGCGTGCCCTGTGCACTGTACAGAGTGCAGTGTGTCGGAACATGGGAAGGACAGCGTCCGGACATATAAAGGCTGGCTGTCACCAGAGGCGGATCCAGCTCAGTTTTTTTTTTTTTGGGGGGGGGGGGCAAACCATAACAATCTATCGATTCTTTCCATGCATCGTCCATAGGCGTAATGTTAAGATTATGCCGTTTGGGGGGGGGGGCAAATGCCCATTTTGCCCCCCCCCCCTGGATCCGCCACTGCCTGTCACCGGCGGTCAGCACAGTCTACACTCCATAGTCCCTGCTACCAGAGGTCTATACGGTCCTTCAGTGACTCTCACTGTAACTATGAAGGTAAGTGCCTTTTTATGGCGTCGGTCTAGAAATGAAACGTTAATAGCTGTTGCATCGAGAGTACATGAACCTCCAGGCTCCACGAATCAAACAAAAACAATGTAACTTTGTGTAACTAATGTAACTGTTTTTGTTTGGTTAATAGCTGTTCTCACGACGGGCCTTCTGGCGAATGCACCTAATTTGGCCAAATTTGCACTTATCTCTTTTATAACAAAAATATTCATGTCATGAATTCATTAATTAGTCCAGTGTTTTAATCGAACATTATGTGTGATAAAATGACAAATAATGTAGGCAAGCATCTGTGTGACCCAAACTGATGCCTTTTAAGAAACACAATGAACCTAATTTAACCAAATCTGCACCACATTTGCACCGAATCTACACAAAATGTAGGGTAGCCTGGGGCAAGACGCCCCAGATAATTTATTTTGCTACATAAATTCTGTTCCACATCACCTGGAAGGCCAAATTTGTGCTCAATGCGTTCTTTGGACATTTTACTTTAAATTGCACCCCTCAAATTCATTCACTTATGATCGGACTCCAAGCTAGGAAGTGATTTGTGAAGCAACTGCAAATGGGGCATTTTGCCCCAACCCCAGGGCAAAACGCCCCACGGCCTGGGGCAAGTAGCCCCATATTTTAGATTACAGATTTAACATGGTAGTTGGCTTAATCTTATGTGAGAGGTCCGTTAGACCTCTGGAGGCACGGCTCTGAAGTTAGCACATTCCATCCTGTCAGGTGTTCAGCTAATGACACTATTGTATGAGCAGGTTTTTCACCTGCCTCATAAGACCAAATAATAAATTATTGCAATGCAAATGTTTACAGAATACTTCCATTGCCATCCAGTTGCTAAGAAAAATACACATAAAGGCATAGAAACTTACTGTTCGCCAGCTACCGAACATTAGAAAGTGGGTAGCCCGAACAACACATGAGGTAAAACGCCCCATGGGGCTTTTTGCCCCGCGACCTACCGGGGCGTTTTACCCCATCACGTAGTTCGGTCAGAGAACAACGCTTTGCACTCCAGCAAGACATAATTTAACACGAACCAACCCGGCGTGATAAACGTTAGACTGTAGGGGTTTCACGCATCGGAACCTGCAACCTTTTATTGGTTCCCCCCATGTACAGACATTACGTTAATCAAAGTTACTCTACAATGCCCGCCTGCCACCCGGGTGTATTAAACTAAGCGGCCCGTATGATTGCTCGTTCACGTTCACCGTGTATCAGCCAGGCATCTGCCATTCCCCCAATGAAATATTTTGCTCACATTCCATTACGCTGTATTTTCGTATCGATAGACCAGGGGCATTTATGGTTCACACACTTACGCTCACGCACACTACCCATATCACACCTCCAAACGCACACTCATTCACGCTACGCGCCGCGCCGACGAATATAATTTAGGTGAGACTGTCCTGGATATAAACGGGAGTGCCCACCGCTATTTGCGGCGGGTCGGAAAGCCAAATGAAATCCAGGACATTTGTCGGGGACTTCCGCAGCGCCTGGGCGCTGCGGCGTTAATTTAGGGGGGATGGAAAAGATCGCTTACCGAAAGATGTTGCCCCGACGACACCGCACTGGCAAATGCCCCGAGAGGCGGGTCCGCGAGTCCCAGGTGCCGGCCAGCCGCTGCCTTTCACCCGGCGGGCACGCCTTTCCCGCCGGAGGCTATCGTACGGCGGACTGGCCTCACACGCACTCTGGTACTCCGGCCCGCCGCTCCTCACCGACGTATGCGTCGCGCTAAATTTTTCCCTTACATAATAATACCCCCTCCCACGGACGGTGAAAAGGGTCCCCTTACTCCCCCGGGTGAGAACCTTTCCACTATCTCATTCGCGCTTGACAATCATTATACCTACAGGCTACACAACACATGCGACATACATTCTACAGACATCCTACATACATTCTACAACTACAGACATCCTACATACATTCTACAGACACCCGCCCCACGCCTTACATGCACGGCCGCCCTGCCCCCACTTCCGCTTGTCACCCCATTGTTCAATGTTCGCTCCGCCTGCCATCCTGCTGCCATGCCCGTTCTGGTTTCTCTCGCTCGCTGCACCATCCCGCCCGGCCATCCGATCGCACTCCCTCGCCGCGCCTCGCCTTAGCGTTGCCCACCAAGAGGCACGGCCACCGCTTATCTTGCTCCCGCTCGTTCGCCTCAGTCCAGCTTCGCTCTCGTCTCTCCTCCCGGAGCCGGCGCTTGATGGAGGCCGCCTTGACCTACAAGCACGTGTTGCACCACCGAGGGAGTTGCTACCGCTCAAAGCCAGTTTTCGCGGGCGGTGGTCACCTGGTCGTGCGGCTGCCTCCCTGAGCGACTGCCACTCCACCGCCAGCGCAACCGCCGCAGTCCAGGGCTTTTCGAGCGGTAGCTGCTGTCTCCCACTCTTCGTCGGGATCCTGCTCGCGTGCCGTTCGACGTGGTGGCGACTGTCTCCTCCTGCATCGGCCCGCCTCAGAGTTGGACGGCTCCCGCTAGGCGTCCCGAGGTTGCGCCACCAGGTGGCAGCGGCGGCGGTGGCGGCTCGCGGACGCGAGTGGTGCGTCGTGCTCACCGCCTGTCTCGCTGCCGCCAGGCCGGTAAGCTGCTGGTGGGTGGCGCTGACCACCGGGAGCTGCCCTGCAGCGTCTTTGCAGAGCGGGCCGCAGAATCAGCGGCCCAGCCAATGCAGAGCTAGCGGGCGCCGTCAGGTCAGCTAGCCCCGTTCACCGCCGCGCACCGTACCGCCGCGGCCAATGGCGCCGCGGCTACCAGTGCATTGGGCGGCTGGAGGCTGCTAGCTGGCGCATCAAGAGGGACGGACCGAGCACCACCGTCTAACGCACTGCCGTGGGCTGGATGGGACTGCTAGCAGATCGCGCGGCGGGGCGGCGACCGAGCGCAGCCGCCCGTACTGCCGCAGCTCTTGAACGCCGCGGGGTCTGGGCAGCTGGGCAGACGGCTGGAATGGCGGGGCGGCGACCGAGCGCTGCCGCCCGTACTGCCGCGGCTCTTGAACGCCGCGGGGTCCGGGCAGCTGGGCAGACGGCTGGAATGGCGGGGCGGCGACCGAGCGCAGCCACCCGTACTGCCGCGGCTCTTGAACGCCGCGGGGTCCGGGCAGCTGGGCAGACGGCTGGAATGGCGGGGCGGCGACCGAGCGCTGCCGCCCGTACTGCCGCGGCTCTTGAACGCCGCGGGGTCCGGGCAGCTGGGCAGACGGCTGGAATGGCGGGGCGGCGACCGAGCGCAGCCGCCCGTACTGCCGCGGCTCTTGAACGCCGCGGGGTCCGGGCAGCTGGGCAGACGGCTGGAATGGCGGGGCGGCGACCGAGCGCAGCCACCCGTACTGCCGCGGCTCTTGAACGCCGCGGGGTCCGGGCAGCTGGGCAGACGGCTGGAATGGCGGGGCGGCGACCGAGCGCAGCCGCCCGTACCGCCGCGGCTCTTGTGCGCCGCGGCTTCCGGGCAGCCGGGCAGACGGCTGGAGCGGCGGGGTCGGCAGCCGAGCGCAGCCGACCGTACCGCCGCGGCTCTTGCCGTCGCGGGGAGCGGCGGAGTGGCTGATGGCCCGCGCGGCGAGCTGGACAGCGGAGCACCACCGCCCGGTCGTACCGCCGAGGTCAGCTGTTCGCCGGTGGCTCCAGGCTGGCGAATTGGGCGACGTGGCTGTGGGCGGGCACTGGGCAGGGTCCTCCCCTCCCCTCATCATTCCGCCCTCACGATACACATACATACACATACATCGCGGCATACACACACATACATCGCGGCACTCAGCAGCACACATGGTTACGATAATCGACAAATTTAACACCCAGGTTCTCATGAAACATGATTATTTAATCTTTTTATGCTCGTAACATCACGATACTGTGGGAAACTTTCATAACTCAATCACCGTCCGATAAATTTAGTATGGAATGTGGGTTTTTTATTAGTGATAGCGAAACCTCGAACCAGTCCGCCACCTTGTAGGGACTGATCTACCCATAGTCGAAAGAACAGGCATAACCCAAATCGGGCCCAATGCCCGACTATCCACCACTTAGGTATGTTAATTGGTGGTCTCTCTCCCTCTCTCTCTCTCTCTCTCTCTCTCTCTCTCTCTCTCTCTCTCTCTCTCCATCTCACTCATTCACTCATTCTGCTCCTCCATTTCCCGGCTCCTCCACCTTGCCTCTCCACTCTCATGCAGATGTCCGTCCATGCGTCAAAGACATTGACCGAGAATACCTGAGGGTACGGGGCAAATGCGTTGAATGTCTAGGTTGGGCGGTTGGAAAGTCCGCTCCTGACACGCCCTTGCTAGCTCAGGAATTCGAGGCCAATGTCTCCTTGTCCCTTCCCTTTGTTGCATTTGTTTTCCCAACACATCTCTCTATTCTATTCCACTCAGACAATCCGCTTCTTTCGTTCCCTCGGCCATGTCCCCCCATTCATTCACTCAATCACAATCCATTGCTCCTTCACCTCAATCATGTCTCCCCATCCCCATACGCTCGCTCGTACATTCACCCCAGTCATTGTCTAGTCGGTCCACTCGCTCCCCTCACGTCCTCCTTCCCACGCGTCCGCCGCTCGTCGGTTCTCCCTAGTCATTTAAGTGTCCTCCCCCAGTCATTACCCGGCCCCACGCCCGCACAAACACATTCCCTCCCCTGCCCGAATCCCACCCCTCCCCAGTGCCCGGACAAACACAATCAAACACCTGCCTTGCCCTCCCCCAGCCCCGTCCCTCCCCACGACCCACGGCGCGGCGGCGGTCCACCCTTCGCGTGCCGACCGGCGCTCTCGGGCGCTTCATCGCACGACTCTCTCTCTCTCTTTCTCGCGCGACTCTGTCTCGCGCGACTCCCAGTCTCGCACGACTCTCTCGTGCGACTCTCTCTCTCTATCTCGCACGACTCTCTCGTGCGACTCTCTCTCTCTCTCTTTCTCGCGCGACTCTGTCTCGCGCGACTCTCTGTCT